TTTCAATGCGAAGATTGCTGGAGATCCGTCGTATGACAGTGGTATAATGTGCGGTTTCTCTGGATCCTGGAATAGCGCAGGGCCAGTCCTGTGTGCGCGTGGATGTGGAATTCATTATACGATGACTGTAGGGTTACTTATTTCCATAGTTGGAATACTCGGTATCTCCGGCCCTTGTGGTGCTGCAACACTGATTTTGCGACACGTACATTCGTACTGAATTGTCTGTTGATGCTTGATTAACGTGCTACAATATTCGCGTGCTCGCCGCTAGCTCATGAATTTACAATGTACGCGGTGATTTCTTTCATCCGTGCTGTTTGATTATTTCGAGTAGGAATTGTAGTCGAGTCCCTTTACAATAATATTCTTCATTATATACCTTCGTTATTTCACATTCCTTTTTTTCAATTTTCCTGTTTTCGGGGATAATTAAAGCAAGCAGTCTTTGTTCGAAAGTGGATAATAGGCATTTTTAGAGATTAATAAGTAAACTAATTACGTGACGAAGGGAACGTCGAGTAGTTCAAGTCTGTCGATAAAGCGTTCCTGATGCTCTTGGGCCCAACGATTTAGATATTTAAAATCCATCGTCTTCTTATTAGCTATCCTACGCTCTTCTAATCGCTATGAAAAATGTGCGTACGTAGTTTCTCATAAAGTATTCCATCACGCAAAGTCAATTTGTCGTTGATGAAAGAAGAGAGGAAGGAAACGTTGATGGTAAAGGTTAGCGGTAAAAAATTGTGTCGGTTAGGTCCCAGTGAGACCTACTGCAATGAGGGAATACGTATAATACGAGATGAGGTGGAATTTTTTTTCTCTGGCGTGCTAGGTCATATGACGTTTTGGACGGGAAAATGATATAGGTTAAAAATACGTGAGCAAAATCCTTCAAGAGGGCAGGGGACAACCGGAAATACGGAGTCGTCCCGCGTTCCCCAACGATTTCGTGTGATTTCACCTGCCAGATGAAAGAAGCAATTCATGAGGCGTATTCGAGAAAGTATTATTCCACGAAGAAATACGATTACAGACATTGGAGGAGTATCCTCTAAACGTGGAAAGGATCACATCTATTACAAATTTTTATTCGGATTAGATTATTTAAATAATCCTCAGTTTTTTAATGATACACAATTCCAATACATATACATACTCAAAACAATCTAATCGAGTAAAGTCAGCTGCATACTTTACAAAGCGTGTAACGTAGCATTTTCATTAATGCTGCATTAATCTTCCACGTAATGTAGATAAAATGATCGATGATCGAAGCTGACAGACGCTGATCGATGTCAATATTCTATCGATGTAGACACAGGACTGGCAGTCGAACGTAAAACCTTGCATGTAAACGAGAATGCACTTATATCAAGTCTCGAAATGCAATTCCGATATTAATCGTAACAAGAGCAAAGTACACTTGGCGTACACGAGTCTTGTCAAATCATATTTATCGAGCTGATTTGCAAATCCCGAACTTCTCATCCTAAATTCTCCACGCGAGTCTCATGCTAAACGTGTCTATCTTCATCCCACCACCAATTGCTCTCAGACTTTCGCGCAATCTGGTCGCGCGCGATAAAAACAAAGCTGTTACCGTTTTATTGCCTGGGATTACACGCGAGCCAGTCAGCGCGTTATCTACTTCGCGGGACGTTTAATATTTTCGTTGGAAACGAGGAAGCTAATACGAGAAGAAAGAAAGGAAAACGTAAAACCGTGGAATAATCGAAGCATTTGATCGATATTTTGGTTAACCGTGTACAGTTAGCGGAGTAACTTTCCCTTGGGTCAGGGACTTGCGCGCGGATTTCTCTTTCTTCTATCGGAACGAAGGGGAACTCGGGTTCTCAGAACACGACTGGAAAGAAAACGGAAGAAAGTATAAAAACGTGTGCCGTACTTTTACGAGTCTTCGCTACTTTCGCGAGTAATGTCCCAGGCATATGGTACTGTGACGGCTGTTACCCCTTTACGATGCCGGGCCACCCTTTCCCAACTCTCCACCCACTGGTATTCTTGCCACGCGTCTTGGAATCACCAGCTGCTAAAAACGTGCATGCGAGACGAAAATGTGCCCGTATCTTTAGCGAGGATACCATGGCCCCCATGGCAATCTTGCTAGTCCGCTTGTATTAAACGTGTTCGATCTGCATCGATATCGATGTCGTTGGGGCGACGTATATCGAACAATAAACACGAACGGTCGATGATGTTGTAACACCGCGGACAATTAGCATAACTCGATACGGAAATCACGTGATACGAGTTTTCGGGAATATCAGCGGGCATGGGTGATTCATTTTAATGCGTGGCAACGCGCTCGCTGCGGGGCGAGCCGTTGACTATAATGGAAGAAGCAGTTGGCAAACAGGAGGAACTGATCGAAAATTCTTGCGTGCTGTGTTCTGATACGTGCGTCGGACACTTGGAAAGTTGAAACCAAGTTTCCACCGCGGCCTTCCCTCTGTTCCACCTTGTTCGCGTTTCGATTACGAATGAGGGTAAGTCACGATGGGAACGTAGGGGCGAACTAGTTTTCCTCGGTTTGGTCGTGTCAGGTTTTCGTAAATTAAAAGTAACCGTAAACTGGAACGAACGTCGGCGTGGTGCATTTCTTTAATTTCATTAGATAAACCTTGATTTACATCCGCTTTACCTTTACACGAAACGAGAACCGGATCACGCGAGTTAAACATCGGGGAGAGGTTGTTACGATCCTACTTTATAATCAGCTAGGAAAATCATCTGTTCCCTTCACGCGGAGAACTTCTTCGTATTATCAAAGACACTTGGCTGAATACAAACGACGTCGACTTGGTCCGATTATTCGTTTCTTCTAGCAGTTCATTGTTACTTCTCTCCTCGCGCACCGGAAAAATTTGTCTTCCTTTTTTGTAAGTATGTCAGTTGCATTGCACGTTATAATAATTTCGGGATATTGGAATTATTATATTGTCACGTTATTGGCAAGATTTAAAATGTAAAGTAGCTTTGAAAAATGTCAAAATTTATCGATAAGATCTATAAGTATTCGTGTTCGCTTCGCGCGATTAATTTCTCAAATTTTCCACTTTAGTCTCGTCGTCATTATGCGACAGATTATCGTTGCACGGGATGCGCGTGGTTCTCGTAATTACCGTCAATTTTAATCGAATTTTCGGACCGCGAATCGAAAACTGATAATGAACTTTTTGCCACGACGATAATAACTCCGCTCTTGTTCGTCGTATTCGATGAAATCACGAGTTATAGAATTTTCTCGTCCCGGTAACGAAATTCTGAATGTAATTACACCTTTACGAACTTGCGAAAATGGCCACAGAGAGGAGCACACCATCGCATTTATTTTTCAACTATCCCTCAAGTAATCGTTGCTTTTAATAACCATTGTGCTTCATATTCTCAGCATAATAGGGGTTAATTGCTCGGTGACGTTTGGTCAAATTACGACAAGTGTTTCGTTGCAAAATAATTATGAAGGAGTATTGAAAAGATATAAAATGGAATATTCTTTGCATTAATTTCTACGACAAATATGATCTTATTTCTGCTAACAGAGTTCATACATCGAGGATGTCTTATCCTGAAAGTATTCAATTCTATTAACCCATTGCACTCGACTTTTTGGCGAGAGAAGAGTAGAAAATCGAAGATTCTTTATTAAAAAACTGACAATACTTTTTTGAGCAGTAAATAAAGAATTTTATAATAATAGAATTGTAGAATTATTTGATTTCGATACCTGGCACACTGTTACATTACATTAAATTTGATACATTAATTAATATCGATCTTCCAAATTTTATGAAATGCTGACTGAGGGTCACCTCTCGAGTGCAAAGGGTTAATTAACATCGATCTTTAGAATCTGATTAAAAGGCGACTGAAGTCGCCTTTCGAGTGCAAAGAGTTAAAGTATTGTAATTCATAAGGATGTATTTAAACCTCTTGCTTTTTAAATTCACATAAGTGTATATATTTCACCTACATTAAACTTTATATATCTATTGTTGTGCAACTGAATACGGTTACTTTCCTGCATGCTAAACGCTTTGATTTCGTCCTAGAAATTCCAATACTGTTATATATACGAATATATGTAAAATCGCGAAATACGGGTGTGGGGAGAATTTAAGAATAGGTTGGGACAGTTGAGGACGTTATCGAGCACTTTGGAACACTGTTGGAACGAGTTTGGAGACCTTCCGAGGTACTTGGGGACTATGCAGTTACCTGTGTCAAAATTCGGTACCTAATTTCGGTCAAACTTGCGCGTTATAATTAAAACGTCTAATGTTGTTAGGAATAATCGCGAAATATCATGCCGAAACTTGAGATCATTTCGGAAGATTCGACATTGTCACGGAACAGACCCGTTCTAGAAGACAATTCTCGATGCGGTACAGTGCCGTTGCAAGACACGAAATGACTCCGGAGAGCTCAGGAGATTACACGAGTCTGCGATATTGCTACATATTGCTACAGCACATGTTACTCCAGGGGCCCGGAAAAATTACAGAAATCTCTCTAACGCTGTTACGAGGTGTGCAATGAAAACCCGGCTTAATCTTAATATCCCTCGATGCCATAACCACGGAAGATTTCGAAAATTCGCATCTGTCAAAAAGTGAAGCAGCAGTTTCAAACTACCCTTAAACAGGTTATCGGTGTTTTTCAAGAGCAATTTTGGGGACAAATATCCTGCGTCGGGATGATAATCTGCTGTCTTAACGCAACCCTAAATTTTTCATCACAGACCAATAGAAAAGGGCAGAAGGAAAATAAGAAAAATAAGAAAAGGAAGGGGAAAAGTCCAATTGCGATATTGCTATATTTTTCTACAGCGTGTATTATTCTAGAGACCCCACAAAAATTACAGAAATAGCAGGAATATTCAATTATTTTATTAAAGTCTTTTAAGGCTATTTGCCAAAATACAGTTAAGTGGTGATCCTGCATACGCGTGCCCTTTAATTGCCATTTAAATGCCTTTAATTTTCGCCGATTTCATCGAAAGCCTCGTTACCCGACATTGCGTTCTCTATGCTGTCCATTATCCAAAGAAAACACATTCCAGTGATATTTTCAAAGTATGGCAGGATGAACTTTTCCCTCATGCAACGTTTATACCATTCTAGCTTTTCCCTCTCTACATCCTTGTGCCCGAGGAATTCGTCGAAATTCATCGATCTTCGTCGAGCTGTCGTTCCAGATATCGTCCACTGCTTTTTCAAGCCGATTTTATACGTTTCGACGTCGATCGTCTTTTTGATACCCAATGACAGGACATGCAGGTTGTCCTCTAAATGACCGTATACTGCCTCTGACGTCTTTTTCGTGATTTCCCTTTCTTGATCCGCGGTGAAACGTGATGGGAAAATGTCACCAACCAACTGTATACATAATTTTAGGTAAATTAGTCATTCTTCTTTATCTAACGCAACGTGAAATTTGTTAATTCCGATACATTTGCGTAATACCAAATTTTCAATCAAGTATATGGTAATTTCGAGCTATTTATTTGTGGAGGAATTTTGAATAAATAGCGCGATATCTTTTATTTTTCTCTGCAACGAATATCGTTAATTGAGTTTGTTTTTATTAATAATTTCAATTATTAGCTATATTTCTTCGCTATTAAGTACGCGTGCATTAAAGCTTCAGCGAAAAAATAAATTGCTTCCGTCTGCTTCTACGCGAAAAACGTTTTTTCCGTGTTGCGATATCTAAGCGAATAATTTAAGCGACGTAAACCTCGATAACTTTGCATAATATGGAAGGGAAAAGCGACTCGGAAACTCGTTGGGCAAATTTAATTGGAACATCTGGCAGTAGCTTCGTAAAAAGGACATTAATTCACTAACGGACATCCAATAGCGTCCGAGTGCTCTTTGGAGATCGATCACCGCATTTCCACCTGGTTCCTTGAAGCCACGCAGAATACGAATTCTCAATAATTCGGGCAGAGCTTCGACATCGTCCATTAGAGGCAGGTCGTGGGTATTTTTCCAAATACCATTACCGTTCCTTCCGAATGGAAATAGCCAATCGTACGGAATCGAATAAGTACTCCGTAATATGTCTCCTCTATCGAAATTCGTTGGCTTCAGTTTAAAATCCTGCAGGATTAAATTCAAATCAGGGCATTTTGTTCATCGTAAAAAAACAATTTCCATTTTTTATACTTCTCAAATTTTGTGAGAAAAAGTTCGGAGTCTCTATTATAAAAATATGATTGCGGGTTAAATTATACGGTCCTTCAATTTCACGCTAAAAGGATTACAAATTTTTCAAGCCTTTGAAGATGTTTCCGAGATAATACAAGCTTTCCGTTCTGAAAATTTTCGAACGCGTTAGAAAAGCTCTTGGAAAAGTAGGATGGCAAATATTCAAGACGTTTCACGTTATAATACGAAATGAAATGTCATACGGTGGACAATTAAATAGTATTTTTTGCAATTAATTATAAATTAGAAAGGTATACGGAAGATCTAGTTGCGGTTTATAATACAAAAAGAAAAAATACGTTCTTCCAATCGATTTTATATATAATTTAATTCAATTTACCAATACTAATTTAATTCGTAACGCTAGAAGCAAATCTGGACTTAATCGCGGAAAGTTTAAGTACTCAGGAGAGAATAAATGACTTGAAAATATAAACGATTCTCAATTATTTCACTCGCGATAAATATCGCCCCGATGAAGCGAGAGTCAAGAACAAAGCAGTCCAAAGTTCTATTGTATCTCGCCAACTTCTCCCTTGTTGTATCTCGTTGCTAGAATTAAGCAAAGCGGACTCTATACAATTCCTCCTGTGACCCTTCGATTTTCCTCGTCTCTAACACAAACTCAGCGACTATTTCGTTAAAGTAAGCATTCACGGGAAGGAGAAGTCCCGGGAAACAAACAATGACGCAAGGAAAGTTGGCTCGATTATCTAACCGGAAACGATAGTGCGTTCTTCAGTCGAGATTTCGCTGCTACGGGCTCCAATGTGATCAGACGACGAAGCATCGGTCGATGGGAACTCGGATACAAGATTATGCTACTGTCGTCATCGAATACTGCCACCAGCTCGATCTGATTCCTGGTAAGCCGATGAATATACTCATAAGCAGTGAGCTCTCGATTTATCGAAAACATTCTGCAACCGAGGACGTTTTTAGTGAAGCACAGTGCTTCGTGATTGCAGGATGGCTCAGCAATGTCGTCTTCGAATTCTTCTTCGCAATATTTATAATATTCTTGCTGTTTCGAGTGTTGTTCGTCCACAGTCGAATTTCGTCTCTGACGTTTCGATGTTTCAACGTTTCGATGATAATTCGTTTCACCATCGTCCTTTACTTCGAGTATGTTACCGAAGACGTCAACCGTGGTGAATAGGGCAGTTGGTAACACGGAAGAGAAGAAATTGTAGGTAGAGGTTGACTGTTTACCGCAAATAGTGCACGAGTTGCCTTGGAACGATAGGTTGTCTTCGTTGATCTAATGGAAAGGTATTTTCTTATGAGAAATAATATTGCGATGTACTCTAAAAGGAAATTCTAAATGCAAAAATTGATGGCATGCCTTGTATAAATATTAGTAAAATCAATTTTCGATATAGTCGTGGAGAGAAATTTACGAAAAATAGGAAAACTAGCCACGCATTTCTGCCAAATGTACGGAATTACAAGATTTCCGTTATACCTTATTATTTTTACAATCCTAACTGCAATAAAGATACCAAGACAGCCTTTCCTGTTAGAATCAGTAGATGAACTGGTTACAGAGTATGACGAATTTCTTGAAGAAGAAAAGGAAAATCTACAAAACAAAACATCATGCAGCCCAAGCAATAATTCCCAATCACGAAAAAAATGCCAAATAAGATCGTGTACCGGTAATGAAACCATTGAAATTTGCATAATTTGCCAAAAATTTGTCTACGGAAAATGCATGATGGAGAAACCAGTCACGTGTAAAAAATATAATAATATATATATAAATATTTCATTTATATATACGGGATAAACCCATTAGAAAAATTACAAGAAAATGATTACAACGAGGTAACAAATAAAAATAAAAATATACAAATATACAAACAGACGAGATGTGTATAAGAAGAAAAAAAAGAAAATTTTTTACAGAGAGGTGCGATGTAGTAGCTGTTTTATCGAGTGAAGAGATTGGCTGAATAGAATTAGTTCTGATTTGGTATTAGAACATATTATATCCTTCGCTACTTGAGCATGTGATGTGTAAACAGAAGAGTCAGTACCTAGAGATATCTAGGTACCTAGAGATATCTAGGTACCTAGAGATATGTACCTGGAGCACCGATAATAACAGATTTAAATTGATTTTTGATTTCAACGAATAAATGCTACACGGAAGAGTGAGTGCAGCACACATATGGTAAGAATAGGTATGTGTAAAGTACCGGTACGTTTAGTGTTAGAGCAAAATAACCGAGCTGTATCGGAAGAAGACTATTTCAATGAACCTCGTATCTACATAAAACATCGTATCGATCAGAGTTTCTCACAAAGGTCCGAGGAGCTACGAGTCTAACTGAGTATCTTTCGGTATCTGAAGTGCTATTAGAGGCCGACGGTATTAGATATCCGCTTTCGAACGAATCTCATCTAGCAGGCTCTGATTACCTTTAGATTAACTCCGTCCGCCATCGAAACTTCGTAATGACCTCTTCTAGATATGCTGACTCGAAGATCGTCGGGCATCGATAAAGTGCAGTTAACTGCTGACTGATCGTAGGACACCGTGGCATAGTTCTTGTGCTCCATGCGACACGTCAACAAGACGGAGACAAAGCTGTCTGTGATCGATAGCTCGGTTATTTTCTCCTCGTAATGCATGGTAGATTTGGAAAAAGGGGACTGCTCGGCGTATCCGTGATTCGAAAAAGATGGCTCGACGTAGTTCTGCGTGTCTCCTTTTATTTCGTCCGACGCAAAGTATCGCAGAATTTCTTCCTCGGTCCAGTCACACATCACTGGTTCCTTTTCTATCGCGTAGCCGGTCGTGATACGCGTACCGTCTAAAACGTAGCTGTGAATTACACAGAACTCCCCTGTCAATGGGATTCTCCTATAAAACTTTTCAAAAGCCCCGTGTTCATCATTGCTGTTATTTCCTTTTCAATAGCACTACGGATGTGTTTATACGCGAAGGAATTCTAAACTGAAAGTAGGAAGAGAACGTGCTTTTTTTAATTTCGGTGTAGATATAGTCGAAAATAAATCAATATTATCCTGATTTTAGCATCGTATCTCTTTATTATTAACTCCTGTTATTAGAATTAATTTTTCTTCCATTTTTATCTGACTTAATTAATTTCATTGAATTCTAAAAACGCAGATTTTTAAGGAAATCTTTCATCGTCATCTATCGAATAATTTTTCGTTCGGTTCTTAAAACGTGTACGTACTTTCGCGTTTTCACGAGTGTAAACTTCAAGTTCGGAATATTTTACAACCAAACAGTTTTAAAATGGAACTCGCAACGATGATTAACAATTTCAACTCGTTCCAACGTATTTATCGATGAATATAACGATTCGTAACCTTTCGATTACACCGATTCCTATTTCGATAAAATAGCTGAAGGCGTATTTAAAATTGAAATTC